GGCAACCCACAAAGGCCCTGTCCCGCAGCCCCCGCCTTGCCCAGCCAGGGCAGTGCAGCGGGACGCGATGCCCTCGCTCTGCCTGGCACCAAAGTCGGGGAGATGGTGCCCATCCAGCACCCCCGGTTGCGGCAGAGGCACCGCTCCAGCCCTTCTCCCAGCTGGCTGCTGAGCGGAGCGTGCCAGGGTGCCCCATCTGCAGCACCGCACGGGTCGGGATGTGCCTGGGTTGGGATGTGCCCAGGCTGCTGTGCATGGCATGTGCCCAGCCAGCACGTGCCCAGGCTGGAGCATCTAGGATGTCCCCAAGCCAGGATGCACCCAAACTGCTGTGTGAGTGATGTGCCCAAGCTGGCGGGCATGGCCTGTGCATAAGTTGGCACGGGCTGGGATGTGCCCATGCCCGAGTGTGGCATGCTGAGCTCCCTATGCTGGGCATCCCACGCTGCTGGGACCTGAGCGGGAGGCAGCCGGGGGGGACCCTGGAGGCCCCAGCCCCTACCTGGGCATGGAACAGAGGTAGAGGAGCAGTCGCGCCACCTCCTCGGCCGAGCACCACGGAGCCTCCCAGGCGCTGCCGCTCGTGCTCACCTGGATGAGCGCCCGGCCCAGCTTGTCGGTGCTCCCTGCGGAGGGAGGCAGATGTGGAGCCACCAGCCCTGGAGCACCAGAGCAGCGAGGCCTGCTCCCCCACGGGTGGAAATGGCTGCAAAACCCTGGGCCTTTTGCAAAGCCCGAGGGGGCAGTGAGTGCTTTCCTGGCAGCGGAGGTGCCTGGTACCTGGCAGACACACGATGCCGGAGAGCAGGAGCCCGGTGTGCAGGTCCTGCCAGGCCGGTGGCTGCAGGGCACCGCACTCAGCTTGCTGGGGCTCAGCATCACCCTGGGTGCTCGGTGGCGACCTGTCCTCCGTAGTGGCATTGGCCATTGGGGCCGGACCTACCCGCAATAAGCAAGATGGAGGTGAGGGAGGCAGAGGGTGCCAGGGGGGAGTTCTGCCCACGCCGGGCCCCAGCCTGGCCCTGCACCGCTACCTTTACCGTTGGCTTTAGCTCGGCTCATCCTGGGCGAGTAAATGGCCGACATCTTCCTCCAGGACCCCTCGAGGTAGCTGATGCCTCGGTCTGCAGCGCAGCCGCCCCCAGGTGCTGCCCCGAGAAACGGGCCCTTAAGGAA